GCTGTTCAGAATTGCTCTAAAGGATGGGTACATTAAAAGATTTGATGCTTGAGTTCATTGTTAGCAACCAACTCCATAAGAAGAAATTTACACTTGTGGATGATATCGCAGTCCTTTGACCAAAGCAACCAACTCCATGAGAAGAAATCAACTATTCTTTAACCAAAGCTTCTTCACCATTTACTCTTGGACATGCTCATCATAGTCCTTAGATCTAAGCTTCTTGCAACAGATCTTGAATTTGAACTTCCTGCCTTAGAGTACATCTATTCTATAGAATACTTTAGCTCCTGGTTTTGCTCCACTTGAACGTTCTTTATCATCATCATTATTATTATGCAGAAGTATCTTTTTATTATAGGCAATTATTATTAGAAATAATCATGTTCGAGGCATAATTGAACACTAAATATAAACATATCTTTTAATTAGGATTCAAACTTTGATTTATTATATATTAAGAGACTAACCCTTTATGCTATACCTAATCCTTATTGGTAATTTTTTTGGTATTGATAAAATAACCTTTTTCAAGTTGCATTAATTATTGTGGTTGTCACCTCCAAGGATTCGAACACTCATCCTTAAAATGTTTGATTGTAGCTCCTCACCAACTCAATCGTGTGCTCATTGATTCCTAATTGATAATGTTAAACTTGGAATATGACATTCTCAAACGCTCTTGGCCTATTACAGCATGCACTTGGGCTTGAATAAAGAAGGCTATCTATAGGCCCCTTTTGCTCTTTTCATGTGCATATAATTGCTTTGGACCTTTAATATATAGATATACAGTCCAATTAATGTCTTTTGAGCTAAAAAATTTCCCTCTTATCATCGGACTCTCTTATGCTAAATCTATCATTTGAGATGAGTTGGATGTAGTCCTCTGTAGGCCTTTTATGTTTGTATCACTTTGGCCATAAAATAATTTCAGAAATTTAAGATCTTTAATTATAAATACTTATCTATAGTCGGCTTAGCACCAAACATTTAAGCTTTCTTTATTTTGCATTCAGCAAACTACACCCACTTGGAGTGTCCTCCGAAGTCACACATAATTGTGAATTGGTTTTGTTTATTCATGAACCTACTTGCGCGTATGGTATATTAAAGTGAATAGAGACTCCAATACATAATAGTGAATCTCATTTTTGACATAGCTAGGTTCCACGAAAGTTAGTAAACATTACGTGTCAGTTTTCCTTTTCATTTTAGAAAATCTAGCATAGTGAATATCTAATAAAAGTAAGGGATCTTACAGGAAAATAATAGTAGTAACTAACATATACTTTGTAGTGAATCCCATGAAAATTACAATTAAGGACTTAGGAAAATAAATAACAACGATTGAGGATTACAAAATCCCGAAATCTAATTTAAATTTTGTGGACTACAAAGGAAAATAAATAACAACGATTGAGGATTACAAAATCCCGAAATCTAATTTAAATTTTGTGGACTACAAAAAAAAAGATTATGGTCTTTAAATTTAATTTTGCAATTTTGTGGTCCTCAATCATTATTATTAGTTTTCTAAGGTCCTCGAGCTTAATTTTGTGGTCCTCATTGGTACAATGTTTCTAATTTAATTATATGCATATAGGATTCTCATCGGTGGCAAAGCCAAAACTTAAAGTTATGGGGTGTAAAATAATTTAATAAAAAATTAATATTTTTAAAAAATAATAATTATACTAAGATTAAAATTATAATAACATAAATAGTGTTATCATCATTTTTCATTTTAAAAAATTTATATTGAAAATATTAATATAATTTTTTATTATAAATATATTATATATTATTCATATCTTATCTAAATTGTTAAAATATAATATATTTAATAAATTTTTGATCTTATATATTTTTCATTTAATTCAGATGATACAAAATATCAAAAATAGGATTGTAAAGTTATAGATTTTATATGCCCCGCTTGTTGCTTGTAGTTTTTTCTAAAGTGAGGGGTTGCAATTATAGCTCTCAACTCAATGTGACTCCGATTCTCATATTGATTGGTAAGCAATATCACAACTATTATATATGTCCTCCAATCCAATTCACCGCGCATGTATTAGGTTGGTGATTAAGTGGGCCTAATTGAACCACAAGGATAATAGCTTTCTTAATTAATTACAACAAAAAAAGCAAAATTCAGGAGTAAAAAGCACAATGATTATGCCACAGCCATCATGAATGACGTTTCCAATGGAAGAGCAACTACGGATAGTGGAATGAATTACATTAGTTCCCATAAATATATTTGAACATAAAAAAGGTGAAAAAGTTATTTTAATTATATTTGATAGATAATAAAGTGATTTTTTAAGAAAGAAAAAGAAAAATTCTCATCATTTTGAGGTAGAGCTCTTTTCCATTTTCATTTTATACCAAGTTGATTCAAACAAATACAAATATTTTCTAGCGACAATTTTGCCTTAAAGAAGTTCTCACAATGGCTTTTAGATGTTAGAAATGACAACTTAGGCCTGTCAAATAATGTTGTAAAACTAGCATTATCTTGAGAATTATTGATAACAGGTTACAAGAATTCTTTTGCATGGTATTGTTAATGTAGTTTATTCATATATATTAGATAATTTCACAATCAATAACTATTTCAATGACATAGCAATACTTGCAACTATAATTACTTGTTACTCAACTCAATAATTACATGTGTTCCTTGTTATCTAGAGATAGTTTTAAATATCTCATTTGTGACTTGATTTATAAATTAACACAAGACAATGACTCATTTGATAATTTATATATTACTGAATTTTTAAACACAATTAATTGCTCTAATCTTCCTCCTCACAAATTGAGTTAGTGCTCCAATAATGCTTTTACAAAACATTGGTCACCTAGCAAGGTTATGCAATGGAACTCATCTTCGAATTAAGCTTGGGAAAAATGTTATTAAGGCAATAACCTTAAATGATTTAAAGTTAGAGCAAAACATGTCTACACATAGAATGCACATGAATCCTTTAAAAAGTATACGATTATTCCGCATGCAATGAAGACAATTCTTTATTATACTTTTTTTTTAATGACTATTAACAAGAGTTAAGGTCAATCATTGAGATAAATATGTTAGCTTATATGCTATCTGGTTCTTATTATAAAATACTTTCAACCTTTTTACATATTTTAAGAAAAGTTGAATTTTTTTCATAATATCACAAAAAAGTGAAATGTACTTTCATTTTTACCCTTAATTTTAAATAATAATACAATTACATTAAATACATTCAATCTAATCAAGAAGGAATAAAATTAAAAAAAGTGGTTTAATTATTGCAATATATTTTATATTTTTAAAAAAATTATTTTTAAAAGGTATGTTATAAATAAATTCAGAGCAAGTATCTATCAAAGCCAGTCATTATACGTGAATAATTATACGTTGCTCTAGTCAAAGTTAGAAATATTGATGAATTAAAGATACTTGTGCATGATGAAAATAACAATCCAAAATCAAGTGCAATTGATCCAGTCTATAGGAAAATATTTCAAAACTTATGAGCCTGACACGTATGATTTCATTATTTTATGTAAAAGTTTATCTACTTTGCATCTTCCTTCATTCCTCATTATCTTTGAGTTAGTTTTCCAGATGGTGGATTTTTGAGTTTGATTATGTTGCTTTTGTGTGATCTATACTGGCATAAGGTATCGATTTTCTAGATTGAGGATGATATTGTCGGATAGCTATTATCGGAAAAAAGAGGAAGATGAGTCGAATTGTTTCTGTGGTTAGGGTAGAAAGAACATTTCATCATTCTTTTGGTATTTTTTTTTCTTAAAAAAATATATTCATCTTATAACATACCAAACAAATACATATAGTCATCATTATATTACATTCCATTTCCTATGACTCAATGAACCAAATGGGCACTAAGACTTAATCCTCAATCGCGCTTAATTAAGAAATGAGAAAACCAAGGTCAATAAAAAACTTTGGATACAAACAGCTAAATAGCTCTTGATCAAGCATGGTGAAGAGGGCTGAAGGGTCACCAGGGTCATGAAACAAATCATCTCAAGATATGATTTTTTTTTTTTACTTCTTTTTTCCCCAGTAACAATTGCCCTTAACTTTGATAACCTTGAAAGCTCATGCTTGCCTATTGTTTTCTGTATATGATGTTGCATAAGGATAAAATTACTACAACAGTTACATGAAAAAAATAAAGGAAAAACATACATTTTGATTCCTGTACTTTGATCATATTTTATTATAGGTTCTTATATTTTTTTTTAATGTTATGAGTCCTTATACTTTCATTTTTTAATATTTTAAGTCTCTAAATGAACAAAATAAATAAAGTGTAGGAACTTTAAATGAATGTAAAACATTAAAAAATGAAAGTGTCTAAACTTATATTAAAATACGAGCAAAATGTTGGAACCAAAAGATATATTTTTTTAAAAATAAAATAAAATTACTGCAACAGTGAACTTAAACATATTATTGGCAAAATTTATTATGATTATCTAAAATTAAAAAATTGGATATCACAACAGCAGCTTTAAAAAGAAAACATTCTCGAATCGTCCATTGTCTTCTCTCTCTTCCACTAAGAGTAACAGCCATTCCGAAACACAGATTATTACAGCATCCCTTCTGACTTAGGTTTTGGTGTCTTATTGTTCATGCTTTCCACTTAAAAAAGGAGCTCAGGCCTTGAAAATGTCAACTGCTTACATGATGATTATGACAAAAGCACAAAAAGTCCGTTACTTTCACACCCTTTGTTTTTTCTTTTTTATTTGGCCAAGCGGCTATTTTTGCAGGTGAAAATGAAAATGTCAACTGGGAGAACACTGTTTATTTCGTCAGTGCGCCCCAGTTGAGTGCTTGAAAATGTTATGCTTGTACCACACAGAAGGATTACGCCTGCTAGTCTCTGCCACCAACTTCTTGTCTGTCTCCTTCCAAAAGGGCATTCAATTCAGGTTTAGTTGAGAATCTACTCATCTTCTACTCACATTTTTCCTCTCCACAAATTATTGCATCTATTGAATGTTTTTTCTTGTACTGGTATTTCCACCTAGACCCATGCCTTCTTCTTCAATGTCAAACACTAGGGCGTTCTCATTCTCAACGACCTAAATAGATGACAGTGAGAGAAAGAGGGCTTCTCATTCATGTTTTCATATGACTGTATCACTATCAAGGAGCTTTTTCAACATACTCAACATGGTTTTCATCGGGGCATTATTGTTCATCTTCCTACTTCAACACCCAGTTTCAATATTTAGTCTCACCTATCCTAGGGATCACCATCCTTCTCATTCCCTTCTCACAGATAAGGATGCTCTTCTGGAGTTCAAGAAAACAATTATATTTGATCCACATTCCACACTTTCTAACTGGGATGAAGCTGTTCATGTGTGTAATTTCACTGGTATTAAATGCGATAAATTTCAGCACCGAGTTACTGAACTGATCCTCGCCGAAACTCATCTTGTGGGGTTGCTTTCACCCTTCCTTTCCAATCTCACTGGACTGCACACCCTTGACATTGTTGACAATCAATTATTTGGCAATATTCCACCAGAACTTTGCTCCCTTAGTCGCCTCCATAGACTCCATCTTGAGGGGAACAATTTGCATGGTTGCATACCAGACTCCTTTTCCCAGCTTTCCAGACTTAATGTGCTGCATATCAAAGATAACAACATAACTGGTTCACTTTCACCATCTCTTTTCTCCAATTGCACACTAGAAATTGTGGACCTTTCTAGCAACTTCCTCAGTGGTAAGATCCCTGAAGAGATTGGAAACTGTCCAGGTCTGCTGAGTCTCAATCTATACAACAATCAATTTACTGGACGGATTCCTCTCTCTCTTACTAATCTGTCACTTGTAAACTTAGATGTAGAGTACAATCTATTGTCTGGAGAATTGCCCTTAGAGTTTGTCAGCAGTTGTCCTGAACTTCTTTACCTACATTTGTCATACAACTATATGGTAAGTCATGATCATAATACCAATCTTGATCGATTTTTTGCTGCTCTTAGAAACTGCAGCAGTCTAGAGGAGCTTGAATTGGCTGGCATGGGCCTTGGAGGAACGTTCTCCAATACCGTTAGTCAAGTTGGCATAAAACTAAAAAGTTTACTGCTGCAGGAAAACCAAATATATGGATCGATCCCTGACAGTGTATCAAAACTTTCCAGCCTTATGATACTAAATTTAACATCTAATCTTCTCAATGGAACTATTTCACCGGAGATCAGCAAGTTGTCAAACTTGGAACAACTTTTCTTATCAAACAACCACTTCAAAACTGCAATTCCAGAAGCACTGGGCAACTGTCTAAATCTGGGTCTGCTGGATCTGTCGCACAATGAATTTTCAGGAGGGATTCCAGAAAGTCTGGGAAAGTTGGGACGACTAAATTCTTTGTTTCTCAACAATAACCATCTGACTGGGAAAGTACCTTCTACAATAGGCCAGTGCATTGGTCTATATAGGCTTGACCTGTCTTATAATAGGTTATCAGGAAGCATCCCACCAGAACTCACAGGCCTGCATGAAATTAGAATTTTCATAAACCTCTCAAATAACCAACTAGAAGGTCCCCTGCCAATTGAGCTCAGCAAGCTAGAAAAGGTTCAAGAGATGGATTTTTCGTCAAATTACCTAATAGGAAATATCTTCCCCCAGATAGCAAGCTGCATTGCTGTATCGATGATTAATTTTTCAAACAATTTTCTACAAGGTGAGCTTCCCGAATCCTTAGGTGAACTGAAGAACCTCGAAACTTTTGATGTTTCACAAAACAAATTGTCTGGATTGATCCCCAAAACTCTTGGTAAAATTGATACACTTTCTTTCCTCAATCTATCATATAACAATCTGCAAGGAATGGTTCCATCTGGTGGTATCTTTGATTCATCGTCAAATTTATCATTCTTAGGAAACCCACATCTTTGTGGAACAATTACAGGCAAACTATCATGCTTTGAAAAGAGACATTGGTTCAGAAATCGCCTATTCTTAATTATTTTCATCTTGGTCATCTTCATAATCTTGTCAATGATTTTCTGCATAATTGGATTTAAGTGTCTTGAAGTGATTATTTCCAGCCAGGGAACTGACTTAGCTGGCAAACCAGCTAAGCGTGAACTAATAAGTAACTTCCCAAGAATCACATACCAGGAACTTGCAGATGCCACTGGAGGATTTGATGATCAGAGACAAGTAGGATCAGGTAGCTATGGACGTGTCTACAGAGGAGTTCTTCCAGATGGAACACCAATAGCAGTCAAGGTGCTGCATTTGAAATCTGGAAATTCCATCAAGAGGTTCAACAGAGAATGCCAAGTTTTAAAGAGGATTCGGCACAGGAACCTGATAAGGATTATCACTGCATGTAGTCTACCTGAATTTAAGGCTCTTGTTTTGCCTTATATGGCTAATGGGAGTTTGGAGAGCCGCCTCTATGCTTCTCCTGGATCTTCTGATTTGAGTATCACCCAGAGGGTGAATATTTGCAGTGACATAGCAGAAGGGATGGCCTATCTGCATCATCATTCTCCAGTCAAAGTCATTCATTGTGACCTAAAACCAAGCAATGTTCTTCTTAATGATGACATGACAGCTGTAGTTTCAGATTTTGGGATTGCAAGGTTAATTATGAGTGTTGGAGGAGGAAATAATGGGTTTAATGATAACATGGGGAGCTCCACTGCAAATTTGTTATGCGGGTCTATCGGATACATTGCACCAGGTATTTAATTTAGATCTTGCCTCAGTAATCAGCATTTTACAAGAATCTAAGATTACTTAGAAGTTTTTTCTTTTTTTGGTGGGTTTGGGGAGAGGGCAGAAGAGATCATTTAGAGGAAACATTTGCCTGTAGACCTAACTGCCAGTTGATCACTAAATGTGCAAAGAACAAGTATAAAGATCATGCAGGTTAGCTTTTCTACAACATGACAGCAACAACACATTACCACAAGGCACAAGCATCCCAATAAAACAAAATTTTTCCTGCTTTTTTTTTAATCAGAACAGTCGTTCTGCTTTGTTAAAACGCCATTATCTGTTTCAGAGTCATCAACATCATTCTATAATTTCCCATGCAGAGTACGGATTTGGATCAAATATATCAACAAAAGGAGATGTGTACAGCTTTGGTATTCTAGTTCTTGAGATGATGACTAGAAAAAGACCAACAGATGACATATTTTCTGGTGGCTTAAGCCTGCACAAATGGGTAAAATTTCATTATCATGGAAGGTTAGAGAAAGTGATAGACCCTGTCTTGGTTACTGCTTCAAGAGATCAGTCTCATGAGGTAAAAAGAATGCAAGGAGTCGCAATTGGAGAGCTAATTGAGCTGGGGATCCTTTGCACACAGGAATCACCATCTACAAGGCCTAGCATGCTTTATGTAGCCGATGACTTGGATCGTCTCAAGAGATACCTTACTGGGGATATAACTAGGACTTTTGCCTCATCTCTTGGAATTTCATCTTCTACTACAGATGATTTTTGAAAGTTTTTCTATGATGTAGTCTTGAAGTAAAATTTCAAGGAGTGTTAATGGAATGGTCCAAATGCTGTTAGTCATTATTTTGTATTGACGTTAGCTGTCTAGTTTTCCAAATACTCTTTGTCCTTGTGTTATTTTTCCAGTTATGACAGCCTTAAAACTAACATGTTTTCTAACTAGTAAATCCATAGTTGTCGGAAGGTATTAGCCCTCAATACTTTATGCAACTTCAATTTCAATAATTGCGGTAAATGAAAGTATGCTGAAGAGGGAATGTCATCAGAAAAATTACAAAAGGCTTCCTTCTCTGTTCTGGCCTGTTTTCTAGTGGATTCATTTCTAGTTAATATGAACAAGCTAAGTTGAATAGATACGGGTACCGGTATCTAATATGATACGGCATGATACAGCGATATGACAAATTTTTAAAATTTTAGGATATGGACATGATGATATTTATAATATATATTTTAACATTTTATGATATAAGTATATGTATTTTGATTTTTAAACAAGAATTTTTAAAGTAGTATAAAAATATTTATAACAATCAACTAAAATATTAAGTGTTTTATTAAGTTTTTAAGTAATATAATAAAAAATTATTGAAAAAAATTATATGACAAATGTTAAAATATCGGATGCATATCCAGAATTATTTTATAAGTATTGTATTGAATATAAATTCATTTACTTTTTTGAAGCATCCGTGTTTCATAATGAATAAGTTTAAGTGCAAGGAGTGGATTTCCAAGATGCAACGCAAATGTGTGTGTCTGTGCGTGGGCGCGCGCTGTCTCTCCCAATTTATCATTAATGATAAAATCATTCCACTTTAGCATTGCAGCAAAGCCACAATTTGCCCAGAACTGACCACTCTCAAGTGGACAGTTGGAGATGCAAAAGAAAAAGAAAAGGGAAGCCGGGATACAATATTCATAGCGCCTTCATGCAAAGCCACCGTATTTTAGAAGGGCCCAAAAATTGTCTGTACATGTTTGTGCATGTGTGTGTATTTATAGATATATTCATTCAGCTATAGCTTAAAAGCATCATGGAGTGAAGCGTCCCAGGAAAAAAGATAGAAAGGAGACCAGTATTTCATTGCTCTGTCCACTGTATTATCTAGGGCCAGTAGCTCGAACTATATAGACTTTTTTAAGAGGATAGAATACTCCAAAAGTTAAAAATCAGGTTTAGCTATATGAATTTTTTTAAGAAGGTATGATACTTTAAGTTCGATCTAAATAAACCCACCTCGAATTGAGTCCATCTATTAAAATTTTTAACTCTATATGTATAAAGAGTTAGTACTTTTAGCCAAATCTGATCGGCCAACTCGAACCCTAGCTGAAAAAAATTAAGATTGAACTTTGCCATATGAGCTTTTTTAAAAGGATATGATACACCAAGTCCAATCAAAATTGAGCCCGACTTGAATAAGTTTGGTCTGCTTGAATTACTGGCTCTAATATTATCTTGTTTTTTTTCCCCTCCTTTTTGTCAATTGCCATTAACAAAGACAAAAATTACCTCCGAACTGGTATTGATAACTAAATTTCTAATAATAGTTATGTAAGGATCAACTAGTAAACTTTCACAGGCAAAATTTCCAGCATGAATGTCAGAATTAGACGATGCCCAACTTTTACATTTAGCATTCTCTAGACAACTGATTGTCGTTACTGGAGATCCTTCACCAGTACACCGAGAGATTTTCCTTCAAAACTTAAATTGTCTCCCTGACTTAGCGGGACAAAAAATTACTGGAGAAATGGGAGCAAAAGGAAAACTCATCATTTGAGCTGATTCAGTTCAACGCGGGGTAAAAAACACGACCTGCACTTCAAACGATGAATTGCCCACCAAATCTGAAATCCCTGTGTTAATTTTGAACTTGTAATCGATCACAATTTTTTTAAGCCAGTAATCTACTTTTTTTTTTTTTAATGTTTCTCGTTAATATTATATATTAATAAAATGATATTTCATCAAAAAGGAGTGAAAATTTATTTAATCTCATCTTATAAATTTGATCTTCTAAAATAATATTGGAAAAACATTATTTTTTTATCTCTATACTTTACTTAAATTTTGTTATAGGTCTACAATTTTTTAGTGTAGTATGTCTCTGCAATTTTTTAGTGTTCCTATAATTTTAGAAGAACATTGAAGTGGTACAGACAGTAATAAAATTGCTAACAACCCATTAATACAGTTAAGTTTGTGTTAATGTATTAAATGAATATTTAGTTAAACTTTTTAATGAACAAAATAAAGTTAAAAAAGCTACATTAGATTAAGAAAAAGAAGACTAACATGGAGTTAAAAATAAAATTTCAATTTAAAATACCTATAAAAATATCTTAAAAAATATTTAAAATATATTTTAATATTGATTTTTAAAATTTAAGACTCACAATTTTTTAAAAAAAAACAAGAGTCATCTATATTTTTTTAAGTATCCCAAAAAATATATTTTACATTTTTTATAGTATAAAAATAACTAATTTTAAATTAAAATTAAATTTTTTTATAAATTCATACCCACCTACCCCACACGAATTATTAGTTTTAGTGGGAAAGACATAAGTTTGAGAGCTTCAATTTCTCCCATTGCCCTTTTCTTTTAATCCTTCAAGCTTCATTCATAGATTGGTTGCTTGAATAAACTTCAACTTATAAAAAAAAGAAAGCTAAGCCCAATCACAACATCTTTAATCCTATTCGAGCTGTTTGAATTGCCAAATATTTTAATTTTTTTAAAAATTAATTCTTACTTTAAAATTAGTTTTTTATATTATAAAAAATGTAAAATATATTTTTTGGGATAATTAAAAGATGTACTCATTTTTTTAAAAATTTCTGTTGTTAAAGTTTAAAAATCAAAATTGAAATACATTTTAAATATTTTTTAGATATTTTAAGTTAAGAGTTTTTTTTTAACTCTAGGTCAACATTTTTTCATTTGACGTGGCTTTATTTTAAATTTATTTTACTTATTAAAAAGTTTAACTCAACACTCATTTAATACATTAGCACAAATTTAATGGTGTTGGTGGATATGCCAGCAATCTTAATATTATATATACCACATCAACGTTTCTCTGTAATTATAAAAACTAATGTTATAGATGAAAAAAAAGTATAAAGACATAGAGTATTGAAAAAAATATCACAAAAATATTGCTTTATTTCTTGTGAAAAAAGTTTAGATGGGATAGATGCTAGTAACCCACTAAAGTCAGGGAAAACTTGGAAAAATTATAAATCACCCACCAATGAATGTCTTGTATTAGTTATCAAGATTCAAACCCTCATTCTAATGAGATAAAGGCTAAGTTCTTGACCTACTGTGCCATGCCTTTGTTGGCAAAATATTTCATCATTTTAATATAGAGTGGAGTGCAATAACATTCCTTTTATTTTGCTAAAATTATAGTAGAGTTTTTTCTCTGTTTGAAAATCTATACTTTAATCTAGTTTTTAAAACGGCTAAGAATATTTTATTTAAAATTTTAAAATATTTAATTTTTTTATCATTATGTTAAAAATATTAAAATTATTAATTTGCTCTTATAATTTAACTGTGTATTCTCTCTCCAATTTAAAAAAATTTAAAAAATTAAGTATGTGGATATTTAAAAATATAATTTTATATTTTAAAAAAAATAATAAAATTGAAAAAGTAAACAATGCTTACTCTGGTCAAAAATATAAAATATTTTTAATTGAATCTCACCCCCAATAAAGTAGTTACCTACTTTTAAAAGTAACCCTATCTGTTTATATTTATCCCTATTAAATATCCTACAATAACTATAAAGTCATTATCAATAGAGCACCTTTAAAATAAAAGGCAATGATTACATATCAAAAGACTAAAAATGTCTTATATTTTTTAACATTCAATTCTTTAAAAAATACCTTAAATTTTTGAACGGAGGGAGTATTAGGTAATTTATTATATTAAATAATTATTCTATTTTTAGCTCAAAAATTCTTATTTCATTAATTTTTTTAATTGTGTGTTTGAAATATTATTTTAAATTTTAACCAAATTTATGTATTTAATGTTTTTTAAAAACTAAATGAATATGTTTACAAAATGAAAAAATAAAATATACATTAAAAAATAAAATATATATGCATTAATTTTTTTTGATAATTTGAATAATTTTTAGATAATATTTATATTTAAAGAGAGGGTGCTTTGGTTCAATATTTGTAACTTGTTTGGTTACTAATGGTTGGGTGGATTAAAATAAAATCTCTAAAATATAAAGGATGTTTGTGCTTTGTAGCAATTTATATTAGGAGAGGTATTTATATGTTTCAAATAGAATAGAAGTATTTATAATTAAGAGAAAATAGAGGAGAGATGGAAATATTTTACTCTTTAGTGTGTGTGTGTGTGTTGGGGGGGCGTTAAAAGGTGAATTTGCCATTAAACTATAGTTTTAGGAACATTTCAAACTTTACATATAAAATTCAAATTTTCATTGCAAGGATTTAATGTTAAGATACGATAAGATTTATTAAAAAGAAATTAAATTTTAAAGGCTTGATTCTTTTTTTTGATAAATTTAAAGACTTAATTCTGAGACACATTTTTTTAAAAAAAATTGTTAAAAGGTGTTTTTTGGGGGTGGGGGAAGGCTGGCCCAAAAAAGGGTCAAAGAAGATTAAGAAAAGGGCACATGTATCATGTGGGCCTTGGCCCACAAACTAAATGATATATCCCCTTCCCCAACCCTGGAAAGCTATTTCCGCATTTCATTTACTGAAGGAGGGCGCAGCGTTTCGGAAACCAGGGTGGCGAGTGGGCAGGTGAGGATGTGAGGAATTTTTGGATTTTGCTTTATAATAGGATATTTTAAGAGTGATTTTAAGCTTTTTAAGATTATATAAGTATCTTAAATTTTTTTTAATTGTCTTTTTTCTTCTGATTTTTGAATTGTTGATAGTGAAAAATTTAGGATTTGATGGATTTCAAAATTTTGATTTGTTTTTATTGATTATTTAGATTAGATTTTAATAGAGCTAATTAGATAAGAATGAGAATTTATATGATTTAGATTTACTCAAATAATTACTTTGGAGAATTTAAAGTTAG